ACCATGGTGGGGGGCAGCTATGGCTATCCCAGTCACAGCCTAGGGGCCGGCTCTGAGACAGGAGGGCCGCTGAAACGCAAGGCCTTTGAGATGGCGGAAGACGGGGAGGAGGGAGGAGGAGAGGGAGACGGCTTGCGGTACAGGAAGTATGGCAACGGCCATGGAAACGGCCACAGCAAGAGCCACGGCAACGGTCACGGCAACGACTACGACATAGCGGGCTCAGAAGGCCAGGCCTACAAGCCCGGCAAGCCTCTGGTGTCGCCTCCTTATGGTGGGCAGGAGGAGTACAGCCCCTCCTCAGGCCTAGGGGGGGAGAGAGGGGGAGGAGGGGAACACGGCTTCCCCCATCAGAGGCTGGCCATGAAGATGCCTGTGTCACATGCACGATCTGAGGACCCCACTGGAGGACGCTAGGTCAGGCACTTGAAAGGACAACTCTCTGGGGGTCCCTCGGTTTTATTGGCATTTGAAAACCAAGTAGAGTACTTACTCTGCCAAAAACTGGGGGAGAAGAATCGTTGGATTTTGCAATGAGAGGTAATGTGATCTAACCAGGAAGGAGAGAAAATGGCAAATGACTTGTATCCGCCTCCTATCTTGTATCATTTTCATTCTTAGATTGTCTCCAAAGAGTCAAGGGGCACTTTGTCCTGTATGGGTGTGTGTGGGGTGGGATGGTATGAGGAGGGAGGGAGGGATCTAGATGGACAGGGCTAAATCAGGCAGTCTGAATGGATTACCGACTGCTTCTCTCAGGATCCTATTTATTTTCCAATCTGCTACTGTGGCAGACAGTGCCATTGCAATGTTGTGGTTTTGATGAGTTGCTCTCTTAATTGGAGTGGCCGCTTGATATGAAAAGGGCCTTTGACTGCAATACCTCCTACAGCACCATAAGAATCATAACCTTTCAGATCAAAAAGTAGAGAAGAAGAACATCATTGATGTGTTGTACTTTAATAACTTGACAACTTTGAAACTAATATCCCCCTCTCCCCCCTTCCCTTTTCCCTGTTTTCCTTTGACAGTGTTTCAATGTTATTTCTCCCTCTTTCTCTACCTCTCATCACTACGTTTTCACCATGTTTTCCCTCCCCTGCTTTTTTCTCAGTTTGTTTCACTCACTCTTCTTCTCTTTCTGTTAAAGCTGCAATATGTAACGTTTTGGGCAACCCGACTAAATTCACATAGGACTGTGAGTTATAGATCTGTCATTCTCATTGAAAGCAAGCCTAAGAACCGGTAGATCTATTCTATGTGCGCTATTTCTATGCTTCCCGTTCTTAAGTTTAGTTTTTGCTTCTTTTACTTTTGGTTTTGTACACCAACTTCAAACAGCTGAAAATACAATATTTTTGGTTATTGAAAATATGTTTCTCAACGGTTTAGATGGTACAATGATTCTCTACACTATGCATTGCTTGTTTTGTCAAAAACTGACATTAGGTGAACTATTGTTCATTATGCTGTGTTACATACAGCTCTATCAATACATTCAAATACTTAAACCTGCAGAAAGAGATAGTTAGAAATACACTTGAGAGAGAGAGAACAGTTTAACTACAGCATAGAGTACACTATCAAACCAATGCATTTCCCAAATGTGCCGTTTCTTACAGATGCTCAACTATTCTTATAATCCTAAAATCGGAGTCTGCTAGTATTTTTTGATGTATGCATTCTTTTTTCTTTTTGCCTTTTTAAAGAAATATATGTAGTCTTGTTATTGAATACTCAGGAAGATTGTTGTATTGAAAAATAATGTATTATGTATTACCTTAGGGTGTTTGTAGGAGAATATAATGGAGTCATGTTGTAATACAGACATATTGTACACTTCAGGGAACACAGAGCTTTTAGGGCCACCAATATTAGTATTTGTGCACTCACACACGCACATACACACACAAACACACACGCACACACACAAATGCTTGCACACATGCACAAACACTCGCACCTCCCCACACACACTTACACATAAGCATGCACACACACGCACAGCGATGTAGATTCAAATGTTTGAACACCCACAGGACACTGCCACAGTCTTTGAACTTGTGAATTGAAAGTTGAGATTCCTACCAAGGCCTGAAATGTAGAATGTAATTCAAAATATTTTATTCAAAGGACAATAGATACCATAATGTACATCAATAATGTTTTTAGATATATAAAACATATTTTCTTCATGTGTCGATTTATTTCCCATGTAGATTTTGGTGGAGTGATGATCTTCATTAAGTGTTATGTAGTTAGCAAAGCGGGAAAAACACTTTTGCTGGACAAACGTTGACAACCTGTGACAAAACTTTTAACCTGTAGTGCTCAAAACAAAACAAAAGCTTTGCTAGATGTCAGAAGTGAATGTCTACATCCATCAAATACCTTCCTATCAATGTTACCTATAAATGACATCAGGTATGTTTCTGAAATGTCCATAACTCTATGTGACTATACACCCCAGTAACAGTTCCTTTCTCCAGTCCCCCCTCTACTTTGTGTTTCCTATTGTAGCCGCTGGGCCTCCATAGACCTCACCGTGCCATTATAATACTGATCTATTACCACAGGACACAGGGGTGAAAACAACATCAGAGCCTCAAGAACCACCAAAAATATCACAGCTGTAGAAATAATCAATACTTCCTTAACCCCCTTCATTCTAAATATGCCATTTTTCATAATAGGAAAACAAAATGTTATAGCTATAGGTTAACCAGGGCATTGGATAAGCAACATAATTATTGAATATATTTGCAAAATATGTTTATTCTGTAGCTAAGGGCTTTTACTGTAGCTGTTTTGTTCCAACCAGATGGACATACTGTACTTGTCCAAGGCTACCACGTCATCCTGGGTATAAAGTGTAACATATACACTACCGGTCAAAAGTTTTAGAACACGAGTGTGCAAAGCTGTCATCAAGGCAGAGGGTGGCTATTTGAAGAATCTCAAATATAAAATATATTTTGATTTGTTTAACACTTTTTTGGTTACTACATGATTCCATATGTGTTATTTCATAGTTTTGATGTCTTCACTATTATTCTACAATGTAGAAAATAGTAAAAATAAAGAAAAACCCTTGAATGAGTAGGTGTTCTAAAACTTTTGACCGGTAGTGTATGATATTCCCCCTTATACATGTGCAAACTGTTGGAGCTCAGAATCTCTCTTTTCAACATTCAGTTCAAAAATAACAAAACAAATCCTTCCAGATCCAGAGAACATTAACAGTATTTTGCAGAGAGGTTGTGCTAGTAAGTGTCCACTGACACAGGAAGATGTACTGTAGTCAGTGGCTGAAAGTATGACAGTTTCACATCTTGACGTGTACACAATGTTTTTACACCTAGGTTTCAGACCTTCATACACATTTCAATTCTATTTCAGCAGCTCTTGAATCATCTGCACCAGAAAAACATCCACAATAGCAAAATATGCACACAGTGGATTGCATCAGTGCCAAATAATAATTTCATATAAACTTTTTGTTAGCATTATACATTTACCTTATTGTTAGCATTATGGAATTGTATCAGTTCTGAGTGCTGACTCTATGTGAAGGGCTGAGCAAATAGTTTCACAGTCCAGAAAATTGAAGAATTGGAAAAGCGCATAGCAACAAGTAAATTAACACTCATAATGCAATGTGCATTAAGCTTTAAGTCACAATTACTAATAATAAGGTTAGCCGGGCCTCCTTTCTTTGTTGTTGTCCCAAGTTGATGATGTTATTCAGCGTCACCAATATGAAGGTGTATGTTGAGATAAGTTTGTCCAACAAAAGTGGGATTTCAATGCTATCTTTTTAATACAGTAGTATTGTTATTGTATCTTGTACATTCTCTAACCATTTCTACCTCATTTTGAAGACGTTCATGGAAATATTTATTTCCTGTTGTTTCACATGTCTGTTATGGAATAATGATGATGATTCTTGAACTGTTATAGTCTACCTCACAAAATACTGTATTTTAAAATAAATGTGTTTCATGGAAATGAAGAGATAATGCCCAACTCTGTCTCCAGTTTGTTTTCTTACCCCCAAAATCCTGTCATTTCAGGTCATGGTGAGTGTGCCTATAACATGATGGGTACCTGGATAGCTGTTTTACTGTCCTGTCCATGGGAAGAAAACACCTGTATAGTTTGTTGGTTCTTTAGATGGTGGATGTATGACTCTTTATGTAGACAACACTGGATGGAGACCGATTACTCTATTGCAGATTTACTTTGGTCGCCTTCCCCTGCTCAGATGTTGCATGCATCAACCAATGGTTGTGTGTCCACGTCATCGACTGTGTCATCGACCGACAGATTGCTATAACATATGATATGGTTAGCTGATACGTAAAATATCTATCCAGGCGATGTAAGACCTGGCAGGTATCAGCAACTTCTGAGCAGAGGAATGCGCCCATTATGAAATGACCACAGTTACAGCCATGCATCAACTCAACTAGTTCCTGTTCTTAATCAAACAATTCACATCTGACTAATCAGAATACAGATGAGTTGCTAGGTAGATAACCAAATACAACTACAAAACAACTGATTCAACACAATTTAGAAAATAATCTCTCTCATAATCATACACCTGTCATACTAACTATAAATATGAATTGTGATATGTACACTACACCTGAAGAAAAAAATACAGGATACTCTGCCCACCATGGTTTTAATTTCTTACTGCACCAATTAAGACAAATGACAGATATTTAAAATAAACTTCTAGACTAGAGAAACATTCAGTGAACTGTGCAAGTAAGACTCACCCATGTACATAGCACAGGATGTGGTTTAAGCCCATCTAGTCCATTGTAATTTCCTACAATTAGCATTTCACTGCTCTTCACCTCTTATGATAAAACTACAGGCTGCTTAGCCGGGTCTACCTACAGTATCTCACAAGAAAATAGAGTAGTGAATAGATTGAGATTTTGCACTATAAGTATGGTATGTTTTGGGGATTGGAGAGGACAGTCACCATGTTGATGTCTGTGTGTCTAATCAGAACAGTCCTTCACATTGCTGCAGGTAAGTCTCAACATATGCTTGTGGTGTGACAAGAATAAATAGGTGCACCTCTCAGCTGGCTTTTATAATGATTTGGATAGGTCTAACAACAATTAATGCACATTATTACATCAAATTGAAATAGCAACACTCCAAGTTTACTGTATTTCAATACAGTCCAAAGTGTTGAATATTTCAACATAAAAATGGGGCATTTTACTCACTTTTTTTAACCTTATAAACAAGTATTATTTTTTATGTTTTGCATGATCCTTGTGGGTGTGACCTGCTACAGCACATCCTGACAGGCTGCCTAAGATACTTGGTCTATAGGTGACACCTACAGCACCACCTCACCCTCACACTGGTCTGTCTCTGTGCTGTCTGTTTCTATAGGCTGTACTCTGTCAGGCCCTGAAGTGACACAGATCACTGCCTACTCTGGCCAGCCTGTCCTACTGCCCTGTTCCTGTTCTGAACCCGACGCCAAGCCTGAGTATGTCCGAAGGACCGTTGAAGCTGAGCCAATCAGGGAGATCCTAGCGATCAGGAAGTCTAGTGTTAGTGATGAGTACAGAGGCAGAGTGCAGGTGTTTAACAACGAGAAGCATCCAGGGAACCTCTCTCTCCAGCTCGCAACCATCACTGAGAAGGATGACGCTCTGTACAGGTGTAAAATCAACGGTTCCAGGTTCAGAGACATTAGACTCCACGTGAAAGGTCAGACAAAATGCTTATTTTCATCAACTTCCTTAGCACAATCTACAACTTGCAAGATGATATACTGTATATAACTGTGCATTTTTGGGAGTAATATAATAGTGGCCAAACTTGCTCACTAACATCATAATGACAAACACCTATTACTAATAGCCTTCTCAGAGAAGAACATATGGTGGAGAATGGCCACACACCACACACACTCACCTACAAAATGAACCAGGGAGTGTATACGTTTTCCTTGACCAGGTATATTTTGATCCTGCATCATTGGTTAGGGTCATCTCCTATATTCCTACTCCGATGTGTCAACAATCAGACATGTCACTGTTTGTATTCTACAGGCTGTACTCTATCAGGCCCTGAATGTACAGAGCTAACTGCCTCCCCAGGCCAGTCCGTTCTCCTGCCCTGCTCCTGTACTGACCCTCAGGCCAAACCTCACAGCTTCACATGGTCCATGGGCAGTCGGCTAGCCATCAGTGACATCTGGTCCTCTCTCTCCTCTAACTGGAATCATGTCTACAGACACAGAGTGCAGCTGTCTTCTAACAGCTCTCCTGGAGACCTCTCTCTCCTCCTCACCAACTTCACCCACAGGGATGAAGGACTGTACGCATGCAAAATGACAAGCCATAATATCACAGCGCATAGACTCATCTTTCTCACTGGTAAGCACAGACATTTAGTCATTTCGTCACTGATGGCTCACTGTAAAGATACTAAAAAATAATGTTGCACAAATGATTTGCATAAATGCATACAGTGAATTACATTGTTGTTTTATCAGTCCCAATGCTCAGGACAGGACAAGAGTCCAGCAGACATATTCCATACTCCCATATTGCAGTGCTTGCCTTCCTCACATTACCCTTGGCAGTTGGGTGTTTCTTCTGGATATCATTAAAGATCAAGCGGTGTGAAGGTACAACGCGCCATAACAACTGTCATCTTTATGAGTAGACCTACACCCACATGAAAAAAAATACTACAGTTATAGAATGATGTAGTAAACTGTCCTCCACACTAATATCTCTCGATCATGTGTAGTACTTACTATCGAAGTGTAGTATACTGTAGAATACTATACTGTAGTATCCCTCGATCGTGTAATGCTTACTATATAATTTTATAGTATACTACACTCCACACTGTAGTATTCTTTGATCATGAGTAGTACTTACTCTAGAATTGTGTAGTATATTATACTACACAGTGTACTATCCCTTGATCATGTGTAATACTTGGGTAACTTCATTTGAATTCAATCACTTTTGACAGCATCCCTTTTGATTTAAACAAAACTTTCCATACATGTTTGGCCATGGAAGAAGTGGTCAGAAAGTGACTTTTTGATAGAGGTGCTCAAAGTTTACCCATTTTGCATACCCCACCATACTATGAGATATCCATGTATTCAGCACTGGAAAAGATAAACGGTTGAGTTTGATATAATTTTAAGCAGGAATCCGCAGGTCGTGGGCGACCCCATGCCACCCCACTTCTTGTGTAGTGTTTTCACTTAGAACATAAACACGGGGGTTGAGCCCTGAGCCGCCTTGGGCTGGCCTTCTGGGCAAGGTATTTCTAAGTGCTTATCCCGCCTACTCAAATGACCCTGCTGACCCGGAGCTGGAGAGGAAGTGAAAGTCACTTGAAACCTAATGTTACAGCCGCCAGAAATAGAGCAGAGGGAGCCAACAAGCATCATTCTCAGTTCTTGGATCTGAATCAACTTGACCCAAAAAGAGAAAAAGAAGCGAGGACAAAGACTGCCAATGACCAATTCAGAAACCGGGGAAACATTGGAATTAATTTTGAAAGGTGGAAGAGTGACACTGAAATGGCCGACGTTCTCATGGACTGGTAATGTTAAGTGTTGGGTTGCATTTTTAGCCTGCTAGCTACGTTGGCTGCAAACCTTAGGTCGTGTCTACACTTGACACTTACATGCGACTTCTGCTATCAGAATACGAAGACCGCATTTAAAAGACGGGTCTAGACGCACAAAAGTCGCTTTGTGGGCTGATTGTGTTCAGATCTGGTTGACTACTTCAGGAGGTGGTCAGGGATGCATTGTGTGCAGATTTCTCCTCAGTCTGGAAGCAATCAGGCTACCGAAAGTGCATACAGTGGGCAACGTCCTCTGCACTCCTCCCACAAGTCTTTTGTGTTTTGGGACCGAGAGTCACATTTTCATTATAATGTTGGAGGAAATACGTTCCTAGACTGTGAGGAACATGTTTGCTGGCCTCATAAATGCTAGCCAGCTAGCTAATATTTAGGGAAAACAATATTTTGGGGCTAGAGTTATGCTAACCCATTTGCAATCACTTTAGCGTGGCTTGATATATTGCTGGCTAGCTACAGAGGTTAGCTGGCTAGTTAGCTACAGTAGTTAGCTACTGCCATCAGTTGTTGTTGTGTTATTATCATATTTTGTTTATTCCACCATTTATGGAATGCATTCTGGCATTTGAATATAGAAAGGGAAAAGGGAATCTGGACCCACTGTGGACATGGTAGACATTTAAATGTACAGTGGGGAAAAAAAGTATTTAGTCAGCCACCAATTGTGCAAGTTCTCCCACTTAAAAAGATGAGAGAGGCCTGTAATTTGAGGAACAAATTGAGGAAAAAACATCCAGAAAATCACATTGTAGGATTTTTAATGAATTTATTTGCAAATTATGGTGGAAAATAAGTATTTGGTCACCTACAAACAAGCAAGATTTCTGGCTCTCAAAGACCTGTAACTTCTTCTTTAAGAGGCTCCTCTGTCCTCCACTCGTTACCTGTATTAATGGCACCTGTTTGAACTTGTTATCAGTATAAAAGACACTTGTCCACAACCTCAAACAGTCACACTCCAAACTCCACTATGGCCAAGACCAAAGAGCTGTCAAAGGACACCAGAAACAAAATTGTAGACCTGCACCAGGCTGGGAAGACTGAATCTGCAATAGGTAAGCAGCTTGGTTTGAAGAAATCAACTGTGGGAGCAATTATTAGGAAATGGAAGACCACTGACAATCTCCCTCGATCTGGGGCTCCACGCAAGATCTCACCCCGTGGGGTCAAAATGATCACAAGAACGGTGAGCAAAAATCCCAGAACCACACGGGGGGACCTAGTGAATGACCTGCAGAGAGCTGGGACCAAAGTAACAAAGCCTACCATCAGTAACACACTACGCCGCCAGGGACTCAAATCCTGCAGTGCCACACGTGTCCCCCTGCTTAAGCCAGTACATGTCCAGGCCCGTCTGAAGTTTGCTAGAGTGCATTTGGATGATCCAGAAGAGGATTGGGAGAATGTCATATGGTCAGATGAAACCAAAATATAACTTTTTGGTAAAAACTCAACTCGTCGTGTTTGGAGGACAAAGAATGCTGAGTTGCATCCAAAGAACACCATACCTACTGTGAAGCATGGGGGTGGAAACATCATGCTTTGGGGCTGTTTTTCTGCAAAGGGACCAGGACGACTGATCCGTGTAAAGGAAAGAATGAATGGGGCCATGTATCGTGAGATTTTGAGTGAAAACCTCCTTCCATCAGCAAGGGCATTGAAGATGAAACGTGGCTGGGTCTTTCAGCATGACAATGATCCCAAACACACCGCCCGGGCAACGAAGGAGTGGCTTCGTAAGAAGCATTTCAAGGTCCTGGAGTGGCCTAGCCAGTCTCCAGATCTCAACCCCATAGAAAATCTTTGGAGGGAGTTGAAAGTCCGTGTTGCCCAGCGACAGCCCCAAAACATCACTGCTCTAGAGGAGATCTGCATGGAGGAATGGGCCAAAATACCAGCAACAGTGTGTGAAAACCTTGTGAAGACTTACAGAAAACGTTTGACCTGTGTCATTGCCAACAAAGGGTATATAACAAAGTATTGAGAAACTTTTGTTATTGACCAAATACTTATTTTCCACCATAATTTGCAAATAAAAAATCCTACAATGTGATTTTCTGGATATTTTTTTCTCATTTTGTCTGTCATAGTTGACGTGTACCTATGATGAAAATTACAGGCCTCTCTCATCTTTTTAAGTGGGAGAACTTGCACAATTGGTGGCTGACTAAATACATTTTTTTCCCCACTGTAGGTGTAGATGCATGACACGTTCGGAATTCCATGATCAGAACTCTATGATCAGAATACTAAAGCTGCATGAACTGTCAAGTCTAGACAAGGCCTTAGTGTGTTCAATGTTCATACTAGATAACAGCACGGCTACTTAATGTGCCCTCCACTAATATTGGCACCCTTGGTAAATATGAGCAAAACAGATTGTGATTTTTTAAATATTTTTTTTATCCTCTTGGTCTTTCATTCAAAAATATTCACAAAAATCTAACCTTTAATTAAAGAAAAATAATTGAAAGAAAAAATATATTATTATCATAAAACAAATATTTTTCTCAAATATATGTGTGCCACAATTATTGGCACCCCTTCATTCAATACTTTGTGCAACCTCACTTTGCCAAGATAACAGCTTTGAGTCTTCTCCTATAATGCATAATGAGGTTGGAGAAGACATGACAAGGGATATGAGACCATTCTTCCATACAGAATCTCTCCAGATCCTTAAGATTCTGAGGTCCACGCTTGTGGACTCTCCTCTTCAGCTGATCTCACAGGTTTTCACAGTGAACCATTTTTGTGTTGATTTTGAGGTGTGCTTTGGATCATTGTCCTGCTGGAATATCCAACCACGGCCCAGTTTAAGCTGCCTTGCAGAGGCAGTCAGGTTTTGATTTAATATTGGCTGGTACATGATGGAGTCCATGATACCATGTATCCTAACAAATTGTCCAGGGCCTTTGGAAGAAAAACAGCCCCACAACATCAAAGATCCACCACCATACTTCAAAGTGGGGATGAGGTACTTTTCTGCATGGCTATCTTTCTGTCTACGCCAAACCCACCTCTGGTGTTTGTTTCCAAAAAGCTCTATTTTGGTCTCATCTGACCATAGAACCCGGTCCCATTGAAAGTTCCAGTAACGTTTGGCAAACTGTAGGCACTTGAGTTTGTTGACAGCAACGGCTTTTTATGGCAACCCTCCCAAACATCTTGTGGTTATGTAGGTGGCATCTGATCGTAGTTTTGGAGACTTTCTGACCCCAAGACCCAACTAACGTCTACAATTCTCCAGCTGTGATCCTTGGAGATTTTTGGGCCACTCTAACCATCCTCCTCACTGTGCGTGGGGTCAATATAGACAGGCCGATTGTTAACATCTCCAATTGCTTTAAACTTCTTAATTATTGCCCTGATAGTGGAAATGGGCATTTTCAACCGTTTAGCTATTTTCTTATAGCCATTTCCTGATTTGTGCAGCTCAACAACCTTTTATCGCACATCATTACTGTATTCTCGGGTCTTTCCCATAGTGATGGATGACTATGGGAACTTGGCCTGTGTGTCACCTCGTATTTATACCCCAGTGAAACCTGAAGTCATGGCTTACCACTTAAGTGTTCCTAATCACTCAGGTGAACTTAAAAACATAAAATATGAATGGGAATATACTTCAGTTAGATTTTACTTATAAAAATGGGGTGCCAATATCATGTATTTTTTTCAATCATTTGACATCAATTAAAGATTTGTGCGAATATTTTGAATGAAAGACCAAGAGGATAAACAGCAAATACATTTTTTTACAGCCCGTTTTGCTCATATTTACCAAGGGTGCTAATATTAGTGGAGGGCACTGTAGCTAGCTAGCTAACATTTCTGTATTCGGATTGTTTTGTACTCAAAGGAATTAATGATGGCTTGGTGCGAGAAGCAGGCACAGGGCGTACCGGGCTGGGAACTGGCATTGGAGATCCACGACTGTTCCAGTCCTTCTCTCTCCACGCCCAATCCTCCTCCAGTGAGGACTCCTCCGGGAGCCCCCACGAGTTAGGGAACAGAAACTCATCGTCGTCGTCATCCTCCGACTCCTCAGTGTAAAACTGTTCCCATTCCTGTTCCCATGGTAGTAGGGACTCCAACTGGAACCCCACCGGGTGCAGTGGTCGGGGCTCTTCTCTCTCGATCCCCGGCCACCCCTCTAGCCCCCCCAAAAAAATTATTGGGGTTGCTTCGGCACCGGTCCAGCTCCGGTCAGCGGCTCCACTCCGGAGTCAGAGAATTCCGCTCCACCGGGGTCCAGTCCAGCTCCGGTCAGCTGCTCCACTCCGGAGCCAGAGCAGTCCGCTCCACCGGTGCCTAGTCCAGCTCCGGTCAGCAGTCCGACTCCGGAGCCAGAGCAGTCCGCTCCACTGGTGCCCTGTCCAGCTCCGGTCAGCGGCCCCACTCTGGAGGCAGAGCAGTCCGCTCCACCGGTGCCTGATCCAGCTCCAGTCAGCTGCTCCACTCCGGAGCCAGAGAAGTCCGCTCTACCGGTGCCCAAGCCAGCTCCGGTCAGCGACTCCATTCCGGAGTCAGAGAAGTCCGCTCCACCGGTGCCCAGTCCAGCTCCGGTCAGCGCCTCCATTCCGGAGCCAGAGTAGTCCGCTCCACCGGTGCCAAGTCCAGCTCCGGTCAGCGGCTCCACTCCGGAGCCAGAGCAGTCCGCTCCACCGGTGCCCAGTCCAGCTCCGGTCAGCAGCTCAACTCCGGAGCCAGAGTAGTCCGCTCCACCGGTGCCTAGTCCAACTCCGGTCAGCGGCTCCACTCCAGACCCAGAAGTCAGCCCCTCTCCAGGGTCGGGGCCTCCCAAACCAGGGTCCAGACAGGGCTTGGTGCATCGTGGGGGGATTGCCGATCCAGGCCCAGACGTCAGCCCCTCTCCAGGTTCGGGGTCTCCCACACCAGGGTCCAGACAGGGCTTGGTGCATCGTGGGAGGAAGGAGAGGGGAAGCATCGTGCCGAGGTCCAGACCAGACCAGACCAAATGACATTTTTACTTCTAATTACTACTACAAAGATGACCCACCATCGAATGTCAGCTTAAATGGTCATGTCTATTCTATTATCTATATTTCTATGATTTCAATAGGTTTCCTATGGAGGCTTGAAAGTATAATTTAAAACAAAATATATTCAAGTCAACATTCTATGATGTGTGGACCTCCAACCATCTTTGTGGTACCATTTGAACGTTTAAATTTAAATTGTATTCCTGTTTGAGTATGCTGCCTACATACAGACTTGAAAATCACTGGCCACTTTAATAAATGGAACACTAGTCACTTTAATAATGCCACTTTAATAATGTTTACATATCTTGCATTACCCATCTCATATGTATATACTGTATTCTATACTATCTTAATAATGTTTACATATCTTGCATTACCCATATCATATGTACAGTGGGGAAAAAAAGTATTTAGTCAGCCACCAATTGTGCAAGTTCTCCCACTTAAAAAGGTGAGAGAGGCCTGTAATTTTCATCATAGGTACACGTCAACTATGACAGACAAAATGAGAAAAAATATCCAGAAAATCACATTGTAGGATTTTTAATGAATTTATTTGCAAATTATGGTGGAAAATAAGTATTTGGTCAATAACAAAAGTTTCTCAATACTTTGTTATATACCCTTTGTTGGCAATGACACAGGTCAAACGTTTTCTGTAAGTCTTCACAAGGTTTTCACACACTGTTGCTGGTATTTTGGCCCATTCCTCCATGCAGATCTCCTCTAGAGCAGTGATGTTTTGGGGCTGTCGCTGGGCAACACGGACTTTCAACTCACTCCAAAGATGTTCTATGGGGTTGAGATCTGGAGACTGGCTAGGCCACTCCAGGACCTTGAAATGCTTCTTACGAAGCCACTCCTTCGTTGCCCGGGCGGTGTGTTTGGGATCATTGTCATGCTGAAAGACCCAGCCACGTTTCATCTTCAATGCCCTTGCTGATGGAAGGAGGTTTTCACTCAAAATCTCACGATACATGGCCCCATTCATTCTTTCCTTTACACGGATCAGTCGTCCTGGTCCCTTTGCAGAAAAACAGCCCCAAAGCATGATGTTTCCACTCCCATGCTTCACAGTAGGTATGGTGTTCTTTGGATGCAACTCAGCATTCTTTGTCCTCCAAACACGACGAGTTGAGTTTTTTACCAAAAAGTTATATTTTGGTTTCATCTGACCATATGACATTCTCCCTATCCTCTTCAGGATCATCCAAATGCACTCTAGCAAACTTCAGACGGGCCTGGACATGTACTGGCTTAAGCAGGGGGACACGTCTGGCACTGCAGGATTTGAGTCTCTGGCGGCGTAGTGTGTTACTGATGGTAGGCTTTGTTACTTTGGTCCCAGCTCTCTGCAGGTCATTCACTAGGTCCCCCCGTGTGGTTCTGGGATTTTTGCTCACCGTTCTTGTGATCATTTTGACCCCACGGGGTGAGATCTTGCGTGGAGCCCCAGATCGAGGGAGATTATCAGTGGTCTTGTATGTCTTCCATTTCCTAATAATTGCTCCCACAGTTGATTTCTTCAAACCAAGCTGCTTACCTATTGCAGATTCAGTCTTCCCAGCCTGGTGCAGGTCTACAATTTTGTTTCTGGTGTCCTTTGACAGCTCTTTGGTCTTGGCCATAGTGGAGTTTGGAGTGTGACTGTTTGAGGTTGTGGACAGGTGTCTTTTATACTGATAACAAGTGCAAACAGGTGCCATTAATACAGGTAACGAGTGGAGGACAGAGGAGCCTCTTAAAGAAGAAGTTACAGGTCTGTGAGAGCCAGAAATCTTGCTTGTTTGTAGGTGACCAAATACTTATTTTCCAGCATAATTTGCAAATAAATTCATAAAAAATCCTACAATGTGATTTTCTGGATTTTTTTTCCTCATTTTGTCTGTCATAGTTGATGTGTACCTATGATGAAAATTACAGGCCTCTCTCATCTTTTTAAGTGGGAGAACTTGCACAATTGGTGGCTGACTAAATACTTTTTTCCCCCACTGTAAATGTTTTTCAGAGAGTGTAAGGGATGGAGGGTAAAGTGTGTGTGGGTGGGGGGTGAGTAGGCCCTGAGGATGAGTAGGTCACCCACTCAAGGGTAGAGGAGTCTCATTGAATTCAATAATCCAACTATTTCTCGTTCTTCACACAAAGGCTTAAGAAGGCCTGCATACTCTTGAAAGGGTTCCCTAATTCATTCTTCTTAATATATGTTTATATATCAGGTATTTTCCACTGTACGTAGAGACATACTCATTACGTTTCACAGCATACTGAATATACAAATCAAAGTTCTACGTAAGGCTGTTGTTTAGCAAACTGATGAGTTTCTAGAGTACCTGGCCCATCTGCCAGTCTGTGGAAAAGCCCCAGATAGGCACACATTTGGGGATGGCTAGTATGACAATGTCATTACCCTTCTCTGTCCCAAACATTCCCAATCCTGTTAACTTCACATCCACTTCAGACGAAAACTTCAGTGTTTGTCTATTCACATCTTTCTATGTCATGGAGGGCTGAAGGGTCAGAACAAGTAGGGGGTGACCCGATGCCCTCTTAGACACTATCAAAGATGACCTACTAGTTCATGTTTCATTTTTCTCAGTGAAGTACAAGATCACAGGATAACCTCTCACTCACACACCCAGCAGTATGAGGAGAGGAAGGTGGTAGAGAGGAAATAATACAACAGTGACATTTAGTGGTTGTCAGTAGACAACTATTTCACTTTGGGAATTTTAAATGTTATACTATTTCAACCTTTTTGATGATATTTTATTAAAACATTGACATATTGCAAAACTGATGAAAAATATTACAAACAGGAGGGGATCAAACTAGGTCATCTGTAAGGAATTGTATGTTACTTTAATAAAATACCATCTACAATAGTCCTACATTGAAAATGAGAATCTCAAATCAGAGTTCACCAGTATTTCAGTGGAAATAATTCAATATCATTAAAAACTCAGCTGCAGTTACAAATCAGTCAGTGTGTTAATCAAACAGATCTCCCAGGCTGGGTCTGCTGTCTTTCCCTGTTCTGCTCCCCCTTTCCTCCGATATCCCTTCTTTACTAGACAGGTCCTCTTCAGATCCGCTTCTCACTGGCTGGGCTGGTGCATAAACCCTCCTCTCTCTGAAGACAGGGACAGTTTGAGCTGTGTCAGAGGAGGGAAAAAGACCATTAGCTTCTGTGAATTGAGGTGTCCTTGCTGATCACATGACCAACATGATGAAGTAAGAACTGAAGACCAACGCAAAAAACATGCATAGGCATAACCAAACTTCTGTGTATGGAAAGAAGGACCACTTCTCTACCAGTGCACTAGGTGTCTACTCATCAAGAGGAGTGAACCCAGGGGTTCTGAGGGTTCGTTACCTAGGGGGGATGGTTGTGTTCTATGCTGTGCAGGACTCGCTGTCCATGGATCCTCCTCCAGATTATGGGGGATCCCCCAGCTCTGCACTGGGGTGAATGGAACTGCAAAGTCTGTAATTTTAAGTGTGTCCACAAAGTCACCAAGGGCCTCACAACTCACCGTTGCCACAGCCTTTAGCCTACCCTAGCAGTAGCCTACAGCTTATAATAAGGCAGAGGGTTGTGTAGGCCTACTTTTGCACGGTATTAATAGACTAAGATGTGGGCTCATAGTGGAAGTGTACTTTATTTCAGGGTGTTTTCACCATACTAATGAAGCTTCATTAAAATCCTGTCTAGGAGATGGGAAACAACAAGTCCCAAAATGCAAGCCTTTAGACCAGTGTGGTGTCAATATAATCCAAAGGGGAATCAAACTCAATATACTTTAAAATGACTCAAACCAAATCGAAACTGTGTAGAAATGATAATGGACCTACATTCATACAATTTCTTGACTTGTGTCCAGCTCGCTAATAATCACTGAAATGAAAGCTAGACAGTCAGGGAGCAAATATAATAACTAATTTATAGTGTGGCCCTCTGGATCACTGGCATAGCACACCCTCGCATGGTAGGGGGGGTCAACGCGCTTTGGGGGCCCCCAACCCCAATAAGGTCAGCCCCCCAGATAGCAAATGAACAACATTTTTAGAATGACAGGAAATTAGCTTTAAACTGCTAAATGTTATCTCTGCCTCATGGCAAAATGTGTAGAATAGCAGGAAATTAGCTCAGAGATTCTTGAAAGTCGGGACAATCCTTGTCCGGCTGGGAAACTTTATATTTATATTTTTTTTTTTCAAGCTTAAAATGTACATTTAGGGGAAGTTTATAAGGGAACAATTATTCATTTCCATGTCGGCTCTATGGCTGTAAATGCCCTTGTCCTGAGGAAAGGACCCCAATTTCAAACTCTTCAAAAAAGTGTATTAAATTCTAAAAACATGCAATAATGGATATTAACTGAAACATTATATTATGTAGTTTCTTGCAATAGCCCTCTGTGACTTTAAATAATATTTCTCTCAAGACTGTGATTCCTAAAAGATGTGTCTGGAGATTTGGTCAACTCCATCAGATTTGTCTAAAATCCTAAATTAATCAGGAATGAGCAGGGTCAGCTATACCATAAGGACCCCTTATTCACATCCTCATTACATATAGTGCAACAAGGCCACTCATGGTCTGTAAAGTTCTCTACTTGTGATAGATTTATACAAACAATATCGGAATCACCATGGTCACAACCATAAACTGTCAACCCCATCAGCCTAATAGTTTAACATAGAATTATCTATCGAAAAACAAAATTGCTACTGTGTATACCACTTGAATGAAGAAGAAAAAGCAATTTTTGTCAACTCCATAAAACAAAATCTTTCAGATTTTTGTCTTAGGTCAACTCCCTATTTTAAAAAATGTTTTATGTTTAGAGACACATTTTTTTTAGTATCTGTTGTCAGATGTTGTCAACTCCATCACTGATGGAGTCAATATTTTGTCAATATTCTGAAAAAATATTTTAAGCACTGTTCTGCAACATATGCTTAAACAATTGAAGTATTTAGTGTGCTGACCGAAGGGATAATGTTTGCTTTATAAATGTTGTTTTATGTTCTAAATCTAGAAGAAAAAAAACGGCCAAAATGCTAACAAAACTAGCCCTGGAGCATTTAATAGTGCTATAAAACAAAACAAAAAGAAGTTTGGAGATTTGTATTACATATTTGAATAATCTAATGTTAAAATTAAACAATCAATGCCATTAAACACTTGTTGGACAATAATTGTAAAAATGAAATACCTTTTATGGTGTCTGACAGAGTTGACATAAATCCAGTTAGTTGGATTCTAACACATGCACACATGCACACATGACTGTAAGTCGCTTTGGATAAAAACGTCTGCTAAATGACATATTATTATTATTATTATTTTTTTTTTTTTTATTAGGAGATTGTTCCTTTACATGGTGTCATATCTGATAATTTGGTCTATCAAAATATATATACAATTATTTGTTAACATTAAGACAAATATGTGGCAAAAAGTTTTCCAATCTTTCAGAATCCCAGATCTCTAAAACAGCAACATTTTCTATCAGCCTCATGGAAAAATTTGTAAAATTGCATGAGATTTGCTATAATACTGCAAACTTTTCTCTCTGGCCATGGAAGAAAGAATAAAGGTCCTTCCTCGGACCTTGTGGGGGTCCCGCGAAACGGCGCTACGCCACTGCTCCGGAACTAGTTAGACACCCCTTTAGATATTGTAATGTGAAATAAAGCAGGCCAGTTGAGCTGGTGACAGTGCAGTGTGCATCACTAATTCCATCACTTACTGCTGAGTGGAGAGCTTTGGGTGCTGGCTGACCCAGTGAGATAAGGAGACCGCGGTACTCCCTGGTCCGTTATGTTCCTCGCGGGACCTGCAGTGGGGTTCAAAGTTTCTCTCTAGTTAATCATAGCAAGCAGCACTGTGTATGTAACGTTTCTTACTATAGCTACTCACTCACAGGAGAACATACAACATTCATCTGAGTGTTGTTATCTTATCACTTACCAGATGAGGTCGCTAGGCCCATTTCAAACCACTCCAGTCCAGCGCTGGTCTCTGTGATGTCAGGTACTTGAGGAGACGGTGACTGAGGGCTAGAATAAGAAATTCGCGTTGCGAATTCTCGGTTGAGGTTTTGATAAGGTGAGTCGTCATTTCGCAATAAAACACTTCGTATTAAAGGCCTTGAGTCCATAGCTAACTAGCTAGCTAAATAAGATGAACTCGGGTTAGTCCTAAAGCGAACAACCTGCGCGCAGGACGGCTGGTAAGCATTCTGTGCAGGCACGAGATTAGCTAGCAAACGTTAGCTAGATAGCTGGCTAACGTGTTAGCTGGCTGGCTAAATTGTTAGCTAGTTAGCTGGATGGCTAACTTGTTAGCTAGTTAGCTGGATGGCTAACTTGTTAGCTAGTTAGTTCCTGCTTCTGCTGCGCCAAACCTTGTTTAAACTCAGTCTATCTAGCTACTAGCGGTTGATGAGTTTGTGAACAACTTAAAGGCCATGTTTGCAAATAAATTAGCCAATAATATAAATAGAACATACATCCCTTGTAGATTGCTGGAGAAATTGTTTTGTGAAGCACATGCTCTAGTAAGCAACGCCCCTCAAGTGCATGATGCAACTTGTGTGATTTTGCCTGTCCTGTGAAGTTCGTTAAGTGAAGACGAGCTGACTGGGGACATCTGGTGAAGACGCCAGTTCTACAAACAAGTAATGTTAGCTACCTATTACTCCACGGCCTGAATAAAACAAAAAGTATCTGCTTGAAGGTAATTGTCTCTTTTGGTAAAAGGCATGAACTTGGCATTGCTAGCTGGCTTCTGACTTATCCATCCTACTTTACTAGCTAACAACTGACAAGTTGCATGGGGAAAACAAATAGCTATATTTGCAGTGGTGGAAAAAGTACCCAATGATCATACTTAAGTAAAAGTAAAGGTACCTTAATAGAAAATGACTAAAGTAAAAGTTAAAGTCACCCAGTAAAATACTACTTTAGTAAAAGTCTGAAAGTATTTGGTTTTAAATATACTTAAGTATAAAAAGTGAAAGTATAAATAATTTTAAATTCCATATTAAGCAAACGAGACAACAATTTGGTTTATACATTTTTCTTTACGGATAGCCAGGGACACACTCAGACATAATTTACAAATGAAGCATTTTTGTTTAGTGAGTCCGTCAGATCAGAGGCAGTAGAGATGACCAGGGATGTTCTCTTGATAAGTGTGTGAATTGGACCATTTTCCTGTCCTGCTAAGCATTCAAAATGTAACGAGTACTTTTGGGTGTCAGGGAAAATTCATGGAGTAAAAAGTACATTATTTTCTTTAGGAATGTAGTGAAGTAAAAGTACAAGTTGGCCAAAATATAAATAGTAATGTACAGATACCCCAAAAAACTACTTAAGTAGTACTTTAAAGTAATTTTACTTAAGTACTTTACACCATTGTATATTTGCTAAACTATCCATCTGATTGATAAAGTTGATAAAAATGCTGTTAGCTAGATTGAAACTGCTGGGGGAAAGTTGGCTAATGTTACCCAACTCCCACCATCGGTCTGAGTTCACCACATTAGCTAGCTAAGTGGATTGTAGCTAGCTAGGTTTCTAGAAAATAACAACTATATATTTGCTAGCTATATGACTAACTATTGGAATAAAAAAATGCCCCTCCTGATTACACTGCAAATAGGCTGTTGTTTTGGTAAAATTTGGCTGAATAGGCTTGTGCACATTTACATTAGTTTCATTAGTTAGCTAAGTTACTGACTGACTAGGCTAATTCATGTTTTTGATGTTGCATTTCAGATGGAGAGGGAGTTAGATCATTAGAAAGCAGCATGCAGACAGACCAGGGCCCGTATTCACAAAGCATCTCAGAGTAGGAGTACTGATTTAGGATCAGTTTTGCCTTTCACAATGAAGCTGGTCCTAGATCACAATTCCTACTCTGAAGACGCTTTGTGAATACGGGCCCGGAAAGAAACCTGTTGCCCAAAACCTTGCACAGCAGTCTTTCACCACAGGAACCTAGAGTCAATGCTTATGAACTGAATGTGAATTTCCATACAGTGCCTTCAAAAAGATTAATACCGCTTTACTTATTACACATTTTGTTGTTACAGCCTGAATTCAAAATGGATTAAATAGATTTTTATCTCTCACCAGTACGCTATAATGACCAAGTGAAAACATGTTTTTAGATTTTTTTGCAAATGTATTGAAAATGAAATACAGAAATGACTCATTTACTGTACATAAGAACCTCTGAGTCAATACTTTGTAGAAGTACCTTTGGCAGCGATTACAGCTGAGTCTTTCTGGGTAAGTCTAAGAGCTTTCCACACCTGGATTGTGCAACATTTGCCCATTATTCTTAAAAAAATTATTCAAGCTCTGTCAAATTGGTTGTTGATCATTGCTAAACAACAATTTGCAGGTCTTGCAATAGATTTCCAAGTAGATTTAAGTCAAAACTGTAAT